CCATAAGCCAAATGTTGAAAATCAATAATTGACTGAAGTCAGAAATGACTAAGAGAAAAGTAATCTGAGGGAGATAATGTTAAATGGGAGCTTTCAGACATTTGAGAAGTCACATGTAAACATTTGACATTATGGCGAAGAGCAAAGCACGTCCTAGCGGTGGGCTGTCCCTATAGTCCCAACTGTGTGTCTGCAGTCCTAGAGACATGCTTACTTTAGTTGGACCAGTGTTAGTGGGTGGTTTAAAGAAGTTGGGATTCATTGCTGTGCAAGTCTCAACAATAACAAGCTGTCTACTACTATAGTAATTATTTTGACAATCCTTTGCATTTTAGTCTCAGTAGACAAAAACGATAAGGAACTGACTGATTTACTTTGAATATTTATTTTGGTGAGAAAAACGTATGTATTGAGATTCTTTTTTTCTTCCAACACTTTTCTTTTTCACAATTTGTTATTTACTCATCCAATCAATATTCATCCAGCACCTTTGTAGTGGACATGCTACCTTTTCACAACATGGGAAGATAGCAGTGGCCAGAAGAGAAAAATCCCTCGTTTTATGGAGCTTATATTTTGGGACATAGGGAGACAGACATCAACAACACTACAGATAAATAGGCTACAAACACAGCTAATTGCTGCAGAAAATAATAAAGCAGAGAGGAGAAATATGAGGAGTTCTCTATTATGAATAGATCAGAGATGATTTCTCATAAACATTTTTAGAGTTTTTAATGTCTCATAGATCTTTTTGGGGAAAAACTTAACATTTAACTACTAAGACATCCATGACAAGATATGAAAAATTCCCACATAGGATATGTTTTTCTTCAGAACATCTCTTTTTAAAGTGAAATTAAATAACAAAATTAAATGTAATTCTTAAATATTACTTTAATAGTTTGAATGCTAACACACAAAATAATTCTATGAACATTTACATTGTCATGTAATGTCAGCTCTGTTATTCTGTCTTACGTTATTATTTGAAATTTTATAAGTGTTTGTTGGTAGAAAGATGATGTAATATTTTTTGTAAAGTTATCTTCCAAACATACATGCCTAGTATTTCTTTTTACTGAGGATTTAAGCTTTTATCTAGCCAATAATTCCTAATATTTTTGTACATAAAATTAACTGCTTCCATAATTATTATAGGATTTTCCCTTTGCAATATTAAACATGCACTGAACAACACCTGATAAAACTCCCACCTATAAAGCACAAATGGAAAATTTCACTCTTTCCTCTTAGACTGCTTATCAGAATTTTTTGAGCTTTTTATGTGCTTTTATCCTTCACTTAATTTTCAAATGGCTGTAATTGAATATTAAAACAGTATCAAGTAGGGGGTATATTTATCTTCGTAGTCCTCCACTACTGCACATAAAGTGCCCACAGTGAGTGGTATTCATGAACACTGCCTCTGGGGTGACATTCCTCCCTTTCCTCAGCCTCATAAAGTCCACCATCTCTGCCTGATCCATTTCGTCAGTCTCTTCCATTTCCTTCCTCTCAGGTAGGAGTTTCTCCAGCAAAGAGAGCTTAATCAGGAGAGCTCAAGCCAGCTTCAGGAACATTTCCCTTAAATTTCATGATTAGGTGACTCTTACTACATGGTCTAGGAAAACGTGTTGTGATTGCCTTTAGCACACTCTAGCTGTCACCGTGCTTGACCCCTCACTTGGAAGACAGCCTGCTTCCACCAGCTAGATGTCCATACACATGTCCAGACTCCTCTTGGACCAAAAAGAGCATGGTCCTTCTGATCTAGCACAATGATAACATCACCTGGCTCTCACACTGAATCTTAGTCTCTTTCACCATGGGATGTTATCTTCTGGCTACATTTTATGCCGTTGTCAGTGTAAACTTCTAGAATCTTCTCTCAGACTTTCCTTCATTGCAGCTTTTACCTGAGTCTTTAGAACTGATGCATTCCCCGTAGCCCTGGCATTCTGTGCACAGATATTTCCTGCACTATTCCTGGTCCTGGCTCATGAATTCTTCTCTGCCCTCCAACAGTTGGCACAGCACCTTTCTTACCACCTTGGTCTTCGTGTTTGTCTTATGCAAAGGCAGTTTTCTTGTTCTGCTAAAATATGAATCTTTTAAGGTTATTTTGGGACATAAGGAGGACATCAACAACACGACAGATAAATAGGCTACAAATAGAGCTAATCACTATGGAAAAGAAGAAAGCAGAGAGGAGAAATATGAGGTGTTCTCTGTGAAATGCATGAGATTTTTACCTCTGCTTTCTCTTTGCAGCCATCCTCCTCCAAAAACAAATCAAAGATATCCACAGGAGAACCACAACTGATGCTCACTCTCCATCCTTAATTATCTGCTCTTTTGTCATATAATTCCCACCTTTAGCAGCAGCAAGAACTCTATAAGTTTGAGAAATCTGTTGAAACTTTTCTCTTTCATTTGAATTCTTATCAGCAAAGTATTTCAAGGCCAGTTTCCTATAAAATTCCTTCAGTTCTTCTGGGTAGCGTTGGGTTTGACTCCCTGAAACATCATAGTAAGTGCTTTCTTTCACAGTTTTCTATAGCTTATTAAGGCCGGTGTCAGGGAGCAGGATGGAGCATGGTTCCACGCTTCCATTTGTCACGGAACATTCTGGAATGTTCATCAGAATTATAATTGCCTGTTAAGTTATAAACAGTATATCTTGATTATGCTGCCTGTTTGGATTACTCACTCATGCTGATAGCCCATTTAAATGCAGTGATGATACACAGAATCATGCAGTCATTGTGACATACACCTTTAGAGACATTAGAAATGTTATTTCTTAGGACATTTGTCAACTTGACCATTCAGCTTTCCAAAGGTCTAGTCTAAGACTCAAGAATTATAGCTGGGTTTGACAAACTGTTGAGAACAAGGTAGAATTCTTTTTTTAAAAAAATTAATTTTATTGAGAAAAAATTGCAATGAGACAGCTTCAAAACATGTTGGTAGGAGAGTTACAACAATTAATACATTGCATATTGTTGTCTTTGTAGTAGTCATTCTTAGCACAAGATGCAGACATGCTATCCTGTCCAAACACTATTAGTACAAATCTTTCTTGTTATTGAATTAAGAGAAAGTAGCTGTATATCTATCATAACTATTTTGTATATACAGATACAAAATTGTCCTTCATTTATATCTCCTTTTTTTGTTTAGTTTTGTCAGAGATGGGTAGTCCATTGCCATTCAAATGTTGTAGGTGCATGAATTCAGCAAAATATTCCAATATAGTCCCGTAGTCCACAATAGTAGTGGGTTATTTAATTTAAAAATATTTATTTATTTGTTTATTTATGTGGTACAAGATTTTACTATGCAGCCTGGAATTGTAGTGATCCTTCTGTCTCAGCCTTCCTAGTGCTAGGGGTACAGGTGTGCACCACCATGCCTGGTTTTATTGACCGGCATGGTATGCCCAGGGTTCTGAGGCCAGCATGGCATGTGGCACCAGTAATTGAATCTGGGTCCTTGTGCTTGCTAGACAGGCTCTTAGAATGCCAAGCGATCTCTTCAGCCCCTCTTTTTGTTTCTTGAAATCAATTTTATTATGTATAGAACAATATATATAGGGGATAAAATGATTACTATATGAATCAAGATAATGTATCTGTCATAGTTTCTTTTATGTTTGATAATAGCAGCTAAAATTACTTTAAATTCTTAACAGATTATAATTTTGCTACCTGTATATTTTACAACAGATCACTAAACCAGCTCATCCCACATATCTGCTGCTGTGCATCCTTTGAGCTACATCTCCCCGTTTCCTCCCCTCCCCTGACTCTCTTTATGACAATGACTGTTTCATTCTTGATCTGGAAGATCTTTTCTATTCCCCAGCCTCACTTCCACTTGTAAGTGAGCTCATGCAATACTGGTCTTTCTGTGGCTGGGTTGTTTCACTTTGTATAATGTGCCCCAGGTCCATCCATGTGGCAGAGGGCAAACTTTCCTTCTTTTTAAAGGCTGCGTAATATTGCATCCCATTCATCTGTCGATGGGCATTTAGTTTGTGTCCATATCTTCACTGTTGTGAAGAATGCTGCCATTTCATGTAGGTTATCTCCGTGAAGGGTGACTTCTTCTTCTTAGTGTTCGTACTCAGAAGAGGGATTGTGGTGTTAGTTAGCAATTCTATGTCTGATTTCTTCAGGAATATCTCTCCGGTTTTCCATAATGGCTGCCCCAATCTACAGCCCCACCAACAATATCCTGAGTGCCATTTCTCCACACCCTCTACTCCCTCCCCAAGTTTTGCTGCTACCCATCTTTACATAGATGAGGTGATATCCCCAGAGGGCTGTGACATGGCCTGTACTTGAGAAGCCAGCAGGAGATAAGTCTGCAGGGCAGCTTAGCACAGAGAGATGACTTAGGGGAGGTTGGCATTTCAGACACAAAGGGAAAGAGGGAGGGCACTGCTGAGGTCATGGCACCCAACCCTGTCGAGTGCTCTTGAGAGGCCAAACTGAAACCTGAAGAGGCCCACAAGATGAGACAGGAGGGTAGCAGGTTCCTTCCTGAGCATATGAGATCTCACCACTCATTTTATTGTTTCTGTTAGAAGGATTTCTATAACTTTGTTTCCAGTTTTGGGGATGCGAACCCTCTTTTTAAGCAACTCTGTGTGCTTCTAGGGTTAGTTACTTCAAGTCTTTTTATTGGACCTGGATGTTAGGATTAATCAATGCATCAGCAACCATGATGATATTTTTCCATAAGACATATTTCTGCTGCACCTGAGAGCGAGCGTATTTTTCTTAGACTTTTTTTTGCTGTTAAGAAACCTTCGACTCATGCATTTTGATGGCTCAAAGAGTGCATTAATAGTAGTCTAATCACCGTGGAGACGCGGCCGCTTCTGTGCTCTGGCTCCGAGCTCAGGTGGCACGTCTCTGTGGGAACGGTAAGTGAATGAGTCTGCTGCTCACTTAACCCGCTGTTCTTTTCTTCCCTGTTTTCTCTCCTAGGCGACGAATGGAAGACTGCTGTGACCCCGCCCATCTCTTCGCTATGACTAAAACGAATTCCCCCATGGGGAAGAGCATGTGGTACGACGGGGAGTTCTTGTACTCGTTCACCATTGACAATTCTACGTATTCTCTCTTCCCTCCGGTTAGTATAGCTCCCGCATTTCAGTAAAGTTCCTTATACGTCTTGATGTTGTCGGAAAGGGATGCTTGACTCTGCCTGACCCTTTGGACCTTATATTTCATCTTCATTTTAAGTGCTTTTCCTTACATCTGTCATTTTCTGATGCAGATATCTCATAAGTTTTTGATGCAAGGATGGAAGTAATATGTAATAGAAAAATAGGACATTTGTAGAGTTACGGTTTTCTTTTACATTCAAATCACATGAAACTGAAGGAAGCAGACAAGCAGAGAACGGTTAGGGAATTGTGAAGTTCTAGTGTTCTGTGATGGCTGTGGAATGATCCTGATGATTTGTGGGGTGGGGACTCTTCTTAGAACTGATCTAGCTTTCTGGGGATGGGAGCCATACAGCAAGAATTTGCCTCTGAGAACTTCTAAATTTAACCCTGTTGTTACATGAGTGCTAAGAAGGAGAGGAGTGGTGGATATGGATTTTTTCTTTTAATGTATTTACTCCAGGGTCTATAAGGTCTCACTACCAAGACTGGACTCATAGTGATCCTCCTGTTTTCAGCCTCCCAAGCACTCAGATTACAGGTGTGTGCCACCACACCCAGTCTTAGTCGCCTTTTGAGTGTGCCCCAGGGATGAGACCAGCACAGTGCACTAGGGATTAAACCCCAGTCACTGAGCCTGTCTAAGCAGGCACTTTAGTCCACTGAGCTATCTGTTGGGCCCTGGACTGGTGGATATGGAAGGAAGGAATTCAATTTGGCCACTTTTGAAATGATCTCTAATAAGCTTTGTTAACTTAACGTTTTTCTTCTTGGTTTCCCAAGCATTGGGATAAAGTCTATTACTAAAATATGTTTTAGGCAACAAGCAGAGGAAAAAGGAAACCTTTATTCTAGAGAATTTGGGGCGGGAAGGAGTGCCTTCATTGAAATTGTTTTAGGAAGAAACTGAGATATGAATCTTGGCTTTCACAGGCCTTCTAGCCACTCTTCTTTTGGCCAGAAGACTGTAGAAAAAGCATTTACAATCAGAGTTAGAAAGTGTGATCATGCCAGGCATGGTGATGCACACCTGTGATCCCAGCACTTGGGAAGCTGAAGTAGGAGGATTGCTACAAGTTCAAGGCCATCCTGAGCTACACAGTGAGTTTAAGATCAACCTGAACTACATAGCAAGATCTTGTCTCTAAAAAAGAAATGTGCTATTGACCTTGTGTCTTTCTACTAATAAACAGCCAGAGCCCTTATTGAAGCCTACAAATTTGAAGCGCAAGTCCTACCAGACCCAAAGTCTACATGAAATAGCCTGTATTTACTAGCTCATCTTCAAGTGTGTGAGTCTAATTGAGTGGTTTCAGAGTGTAGTGGTGAATTAGTTGAAAAATTAATTTAAGAAAATGGTTTAGCTAAAGACCAGTAGTCATGTGTCTTCTCTCTTCACATTGCTCATTTGACTTTACAAGGGTTCCCAGTGTCAAAGCAAATGACTAAAATGTCATAAAATCTGACAGGGAATCTTGTCTCCATCTGACTCATGCTTTTGGGTAAGTCATCCAGCCCCCTTGAGACTCAGCCTTCTCATTTGAATTATGGACGAGGAGCATCTGTCCCAGAGATTCACAGAGTGGTGGTAAATATCAGTTTAGATAATGCACGTTAATGACCTACAAAGCACTATAAACATTGGTGTTACTGTTGTTTTGCTTCATACGGTATGTTCTGAACCAGAGGATGGAGAAGTATGATTTTGTGAGTCATAGTTTGGGCCAGGTGCAGGGATCTCCCTAGATATTTCTAAAAGAGATATCTCAGATAGGGGATTGGGTACTTGATAAAGCAATTGCAAGAATAGAAAACCTGGAATCAAGAGGCAGATCCTAGGGCTACTGAGTTCAAGAACTTGCTGGTGCAACAGTGGTCTAATGGTGAGGAAGCCCCACTGTCTTTGCTCTCAGCATGGCTATAATGGGCCTCAACAGAAACAGGGGCCAGGGGCTGGCAAGATAGCTCAGTGGACTAAGCACTTGTTCAGGTAAGTGCAGGACCTGGGGTTTGATCCTCAGAACCACATGCTGCACTGGCCCTGCCCTCTGGAGTGCTGAGCTGGCCACTGCATCTGGGCATGGTGGTGCACACCTATAATCCCAGCGCTGGGGAGGCTGAAAACAGGAGGATCACTGTGGGTCCAAGCTGTGTAGTGAGACCCTGTACAAAAAGAAAAAGAAAGGAAGGAAAGAAAGAGAGAAAGGAAGGAAGGAAGGAAGAAGAAAAGAAGGAAGGAAGGAAGGAGGGAGGGAGGGAGGGAGGGAGGGAAGGAAGGAAGGAAGGAAGGAAGGAAGGAAGGAAGGAAGGAAGAAAGGAAGGAAGAAAGGCCAGAAGCCAGAGGTGGGTTCTGATTGTCCTCCTTCTTCTGGTCTCATTTGAATTTGGATGAGATGAGTTCACATCCAAAGCACTAGCTGCAGCAAAGTCCAGGAGAGGCAGTTTGCATCTTTCAAGCTTCAGCAGGAAGCTGGGAAGCAGGTGAGCTAGAACTAAACCAAGCCAGTCCACAAAATGCTCTGTATACAAAAACTGATACCACCTAGCTGTGAAACGAAGAAGAGATAAGGAAGCAATCTTCTTTAACATTGAGAAAACTGTTCAGGGAGATGCAAAAGAGGCTTTTGATAGATGAAGGCTTTCAGTCATACCAACTGGCTTCTGACTTAATACTGAAGAATAGATTTGAAGAAAAGAGACGATCAAAGAATATAAACTAGCCTCCCATCTTATCTGTTGGTTGCAGCAGCAGGGTATGGGAAACATTTCCTCTACAAAGTGTGTGAAAATAAAAGCTCTTGCGTCTTTGTGGCCACTGTGAGATCAAGGGCCCATCCCTGAATAAGGAGAAAAAAATCCCCTTCAGAACCAAAAGCCATCCCATCATTGTGCACGTACACAGTCATTACAGAAGGCTGAAACAATTCAGTGAAGGGATACTTTTGAAGTCTCCTAAGTATTTTTTTTTGCTGAGAGTCTGACATGACTAGCTAATTTATGGAAATCTTGGGAAATAATTTGCATCACAAAAGTATGCTGTATTTCTCTCCGCCTTTACTCATGATTATATGTTAGCAAAATGTTTCTAGTTTGTTTTAAGTAAACTAAGTTGTTAGTTAATTAATTTGCTTCATTCCTGTTCCTTGTGAGAAGAAAACAGAATGTGCAGAGTAAGCAGAAATATAGCTGAACAGAGTAGGTTCATCTGGTGTTGGCGGTGTGAGAAAATTAGCCCTCACTTCCCTGACTTTTGGCACAATAGTCACTTGCCCTGTAAATTCAGATTGTGTTTCTGTGCCTTTATACTTTTCTCCTACAAGAAAGAGCCCTGTGAGTGCAGTTAGCGAGTTGCTTCTTATTTGGAGCTCCTGCAATGTCTCATGGCCTCGTTATCAAATTTTCTCAACTCTGCCACATATTGTACTTACCTATGTAGCTGCCTAGTAACACATTGTTTTTTGAAAGTCTTTTATCACAGATACTTCTATCATCTTGTGAGCTTTTGAAGAGCAAGAAGTTTTTCATTTCTATGCCACTGTAATTGGTTCCCACTTAATAGAGATGTTCGCTCTTCTCTACTATGTTTTTCTGGGGTTCCCTACATACATGTTTTAACTCTCACATAGAATTTTTAAAGGGGAGAGAGAGAGACAGAGAGAGAGAGAGAGAGAGACAGAGAGAGAGAGAGAGAGAGAGAGAGAGGGCGGAGAGAGAGAGAGAGAGGGCGGAGAGAGGAGAGAGGGGAGAGAGAGAGGGGAGAGAGAGAGAAAGAGACAGAGAGAGACAGAAAAAGAGAGAGGAGAGAGAGAGATTGGAGAGAAATGTGATGGTGTGTTTTCACTTTGAGAATATCAGCCACATCCTGGGGGTCAGAATTTGATTTTTCTTCTTTATAAGTACTGTCCTTTTACTTGCATCGTCCAGGGTTTCCAGGAATTACTAAATAGAGTCTAGTGTGGCTGAAAATACATTGCTCAGGAAGAGCAAGAATTTCATTGGAAATGAGAAAATGATGTAGATGGAATGTTAGAAGCCACATCTGTGCTGATAGAATCTGAAATACAGTCTTCTGGTGTCATGAAAACAGCCATTCTCATCATTCTGTGTCGTTGTGCTGAACAGTCACAAATCCTTCTTGTGTCCTGAGTATTCATTCACCCAATGTCACACATGCAGAATCACAGAATGCCATTAATGTACCAGACCTGGCCGTCCCTTTCTGTCTGCCTAGTGTGGCCAGAGAGTCTCTGTTGTGTTCCACTGGACCTGGGCCTCCAGTGTCCTTGGTCCATGGGAAGGTCAGCAGGACATTTGGAAGTCATTTGTTAAACGAATACATTTTCCCCTCTTTATATTAATGTGCTTATTAGAATTTTCTGAGCTCCTAGGTAGTCCTGATGCTCCCAAAAATTATTTCCTGTGGAATTTGTACTGTGCTGTTGTGATCAGTTTTCCAAGTAAATACCTTTCCAACTGGAAGGAAACAGCGTGGTAAACACAGATCTCTGCCAGCTCTGCCTGGTGTGTGCCAGGTGATACTGTTAGGCTGGCTTTGGGCTGTTTTATAACAGCAAAGTGACCACCTGTGGAAGCCATAAGATGCTTACCACTTTTTTTTTTTTTTTTTTTTTGTGGAACCGGGGATTGAACTCAGGCCCTTCCGCTTGCCAGGGAAGTGCTTATTCCACTGAGCCATCTCCCCAGCCCCATAATATCCTTAGTTAGCTCAAGCAGTAAGGAATTACAGAGTGGATGATTCAGGTGTGGGGTGCCAGTCACATGTTGACACCAAATGCCGGTCCCCTACATCTTACTCGTTCATCCTAAGGTGATGCTCAAGGAAATGGCCAGTTTGGGTTCAGGAATCCAGGAGGAAGAAGGAGGATACAGACCAGGAAACTCTGACAGATGCCTGCTTCTGTGTCTTTGGTCACGACTGCCACATGGCCTGTGTCGTGGGAAG